AATATACCAGGCTCCAGAAACTGGTGGTTTGGCTCAGTCAAAACCCTCTTTAAATCCTTTAATTAGCCAAGTGCAAAATTTTTTAGAGCCCCTCTCACAGCTGATATCCCAGAAAGAGATTTTCCTGATCTCCATAATTCTGTCTCTTTCTAAGAACAATTCCCCTCCTTCAATTTGCAGAAGAGAAACCCTTGACCCTCAGGAGCCGTGGTAATTATCTATTAAACACATGACAACTTAGGAAAGGAAGATGAGATCTTACTAATCTTGGCCTGTCTTATTCTGTAATGAGAATCACCTGTAGGTCACAGGAGTGCAGTTAATGTGGTTATTCTTGCAAATCCCCTTAATGAAGTGCTTCAGAGGGACATGGAAAAAGACAGGCTTGTGAGGAAAAAATGCTGGGCAATATTAAACAATCACACACAAAAATCACATACCGCATCAGGAGTTTATACTAGTTGATCAAGTGAAGAAAAATATACCATAAGAAACACTTAAATAGGTTCCTCATCTATGTTTGAGTTGCAAACAACACAGAAATAATGAAACATGCGTTTCTGTCGCTACACCAACAAAGGTTTCTCACACAGTCTGGGTCTTCATGAGTGCACCTGAACGCAGGGAACCTGTCTTCTTGCAAGGATAAGATATTAATTAAAAAAACGCCACAGCCCAGCTCAAAATATATGTAGGAGACAAAACTGGTTTGGTTTTTTTTTTTGACATGAACAGATACACTTCTGATACATATCTTATTACTGCATATTCTCCTACTAACTTTGGATCTTCAGTTCAACTTTTTCATTATACATTTTTTCAAGAAAATGGTTCTTATTAAAAAAAGGAATGAAAATAGCCAAGTTCTTTTTAGAGATGAGAAAGATCCAAACTAAGCAGCAGCCAGACCTCTTCTTGCCAAAATGTATTATTTCCCCACTCTCCCCTACATTTACAGTTTCTTTCCTACCTCAAAGTCTGCAATGGAGAAAACAACCAACCCACACCTTTTTTTTTTTTCTGCTAAAGAAAATTTAGTGCAAACAAGAAAATTTTTAGCGTATGTTTACGGTTTTGTCAGTGATCCACCTCAAATGCAGGCACTTCATTTCTGAATTTATTGTGTTAGGTTATTCTCCGGTTTAATAAAAACCAAGGATGTATCTTTTCTAGAATGTTCTAGGGTGTCCTGGCATCCACAGTCTCACTCACAGCAAAATTTACGTACTACTTCTGAGACCTTGAAATATTTCTTCTTTCTCCATTTAGAGAAAACAGTGCCACTACTTTTCTTTTCTACTTTTATCATTTTCCCTGTTTTTAAATTGTGCTGTGCTAAAAACCAAAAAACCAGTACTTTTAGTGAGAATTAAGTATAGTGCTAGAGCTGTGCTATATGTGCTTATTTCATAATAAAAATAAACACTTAAGTGTTGAGAAGTATATGTACATACTCTTTGTATTTGCTAATTATACACTTTCTTAATGGAACAAGTGAAATTTACTTCCGATATATATTCAACTACCACAGATACCACATGTTGAACTGAAGCCTGCATTTTTTCCATTCTCTCCAAGTTTCCAATACGTTTATATACACAGGCTACATTGTAGTTTTCTTTTGAAAATGATGATGACCATAGCAGTTTATTTCTCCCTCACATTTTAAGCACAGAGGCCGTCTATGCATGTCCATTTACATTAATTCTAAATGTAAACTTCGTACATACGTTCCTCCGACAGGACTGGATGTTCTCCTATGGACTGCTGAAGCTATTCATATAATCTGAGAAAGGGTGGCATTGGAGTTGTGAAAACCTTGATTTGTGCCTAAACACAAAGGAGCCTTACCCTCCAGCTGGGGTAAAAAACACTGTAACAAAAGCAGAATGAAAACAGATACACAGAGTGACCATTCTACAAGGCATGGAGGTAAAATGTCAGTTTTATGGGTTTAGTTGCTCGGTGTTTCTAGAAGTCATTAATGTATTACTATCGCTTTGTGGTGCAGCTGGAGCAACTTGGGTTTGAGATGGAAAAGAATCACTAAGTCATGGCAAAGGACAGGAGAGCTGAGAAGCACAATGAGAGGAGAGCAGGGTCAGACGGTACTGGGGTGGGAGGTGGGGGCAAGGGGAATCTACAACCAAGTTTTAGGGATTAGACAGACTGTGGGAGCCAAAGCTCTACAATATAAGACCTCAAAAGAAGTCACCACAGTGAAGGAGGTGAAGAGGCACACCTCCATAAAAATGACCTCAAAGCTTCTGCTGGCAAGTCTCACAGCAAGCCAATGCCAACAACATGAACATACTTCTATTTCAACTTTCTATCCTTCTGTGTTCCAGTACAAGACCACATCCCTTCCCAGAAACTGAAGGTCCAGTGCCTTAGCTATTACTGCATTTATACTTTTTGCCAGGCCTGCAACAATATAATACACCTGGGCATGAAGCTTTCAACCTGTAGGAACTTAATACTGAGAGCCAAGTTTAGGTAAGTGGCACTCTTTTATTATTGTTTGGTTCATTCCTTGGCCTAAATGAGTGCTTTCAAGAGCTTAACACTGCTAGCTCACTTTTAACTCTTTGTTATACTGTAGCAGCTGTTCTTGTTAATATAACTGGGTAAATCATTCTTAAGTTTCTGCTAATTAGCTTGTTAATAAAATATAGTTTATTAGAAAAGCTAAAGAGCTCAAGTCAAGCATTAATATTAATGTCTTACCAGGCCTTCTGGCAGGAACTTTAGGATCACGTATTAATAAATGCTATCCACTGCCAAACATTTTATTTACCACTTTGTTTACACAAATGTCAAAACAGAGTTTAGCACATGTGCTGCTCCATAGGAGAGAGAGGCACTGGTATCACAATTTTTTTTGGTCATAAATACAACTCAAAACACAAAGCCAGATTAAAAATTAATAGCAATTTTAATTTTAAATGTTTTTCACGAAAGAGCTGTTACAGAGTTTCCATTCTGCTATGATAGACAGCAGCCGGATCAATGCTATGAAATGTTTGCTGCAGAGGGGTCAAGGTCTGCCGTGTGCAACAGCAAGCAAAAAGTGGAGATGAGAGCAGTATTTGTAGAAGAGAGAAACATCACTGTGTTATTACAAGCATAATATACTTTTGCCAAAACCCTCAAGTTTCATAGCCATTATAGCCAGACAACGACCTTGCTCCTTTTAACTACTGCATTACATCATTTGGGTAGCCCACGCTGCAGTGCTGCTTATCCCTGGCTATCAGTAACGCCTCCAGAGTAGACTGCCTTCCTCTTCTGCAGGGCATCTCTTTCTCTTAAAAGATGTTAAAATTGTTATTGTAACAAAACATTACATAGCTTCAATTCAGAAATGCATATTCTAAAAACAACAACAAAAAGAAAACACTTATTGAAGCTGACACAGGTAACTAGAATGTCCCTTTCAGAAAACAATAATACTTATGCAATGAAAGATTACAAGAAGTAAAAACAAAAAACAAAAAAAAAAAAGGAAAGGGTTCCAATAGCATTAATCATCAAGAAATGCAAAGATGTACAAGCATCTGTTTGTCACAGACACAGGCTGGTAAATTCTGGTTCACTAGAATAAAAAGAGACTCAAAACAGGTGAGTTGCATTACCAGAGCTGCAGTGATTTAAAAGAATGGGGCAGGCTTGCTAAGGGGAAAAATAAAACCAACCCCAAACCAACACAACCCACCCTGTGGTGTTTCTAACTGATAGATTTCCTTGAGAAAATGCTGCTGATCTGATTCAGGTCAGACCATGCTTCCCCAAGATCCGTGCAGTGCAGCCCTATATAATGTATACATTCACGCATATGCAATAGCCTTTTCCAAGGAATCTCCCATCCTTACAGACACTGATGATCAGGATTTAACCCCAAAGCTTACAACGCTTGAACTCACTACGCACGGTGGCAGGCAAAATGTACAGAAACGTTCAAATCTGTGACCTACGCTGACGAGGTGCACTCCCCATACCTGCAAAAGGAGAAAGAAGCAGGGGCACTCCCTCTACCCGTGCGCCCTTCTAATAAAAGAGCGGGTATGTATGTGTGTGTGTGGGGGGTGGGTGTGTATAAAACCAAATAAATAAACTCAGCGGTGCAGAAAGGAATGCGGCCAGGATCGCCTCAGCGCTATCGGGCGCGGTCGCCTCCCCGGATTCCTGTCAGCACCGGGAGGGCGGGAACCGCCTCCCCCCTCCTCGGCCAGCCCCCAGGGCTAAGGGAGAATAAGCAGAAACTCCAGAGAAGCACCGGGCTCCGGCGGGGGCCAGCTGGGCTGCTCCGACCC